GAATATAGGAGTATTACTTTCAGAGGCAGGACAAAATGAGAATCATTCACCTAAAATCCCTTCCAACTCTATCCAATACTCTGAAAAGCTGGCAGAGGATAAAGCAGCATTCAAGTTCTACTGGCACAAGGGTCTGAAAGCTGGAGACTTATCTTACATGAAACCTCCAAAAGGGAAGAGCCCTGCACTGTTTGGCAAAGTCAGTTTGTGGTCATCAAACAGGAGGAAACTGCCCACCAAGATATGCCAACAGGATCAGGCCTAAAAAATCCCAGCTCTACTGTCCTTTCAGTTTCCCTTCATTCTCAAGTCTGAAAAGGATGCTGTCAGCTTCAAGATTTCATGTAAGAAAGAAATAAGGATCCATAAGTTAAAAATAGCACTACAGAGAAAAAAAGTTGAGAATTTTTTATACTAACTCCTTTCTGCATCGCTGCCCTGGCCGCTTATTCACTTCAATTATTCCGGACATAAGCAGAGGCTTGTCAAACCCACTTTGCCCTGCCCAGGTTTCAGTTGGTTTTATTCAATGCAGTAGGATGATGCTGCAAAGTCTGGATTTAATAGATTGCAGGGGAATGTTTATTGGCTTGCAACTACCCCTCTTTCCACTGGAGCTTTTGCTTTAAATTCATACAGCTGTTTCCACTGCTTTTGGGAGTGGAAATGATCAATTTTTCAATCCCTAATTGTGGAGCCACATGGACCCACAGTTTTCTTTTCTCTCCTGACAGCAGTGATGGTGTGTGCCATGGGACTCATAATTACAGCTGAGTCCATTACATGCATAAGACATTAAAAATTAACACTCTGGGATATGGCGTACCATCGTACTTCCCGTAGCTGAAGAAGGTATTTACGGAAGAACGGGGTGAGCCAGCACACATCTTGATTTCCAAAGCAGTGACTGAAGACAATGTGCCTGCTCTTCATCATGCTTACCATAGCACAGCTTAGCAAAGGCTGAAGCACAATGCAGACTTCAGAAAAGCATCTACTGAGTGAGGAGATTCAGTATTTTACAGAGGCTTCACACTGGCTTCAAAAAGCTGTGCTGGAAACAGGCAGCTCTGAACCTCTCCCCCACAGGGGCTGTGCTATACACAGGGATTAGATACAAATGTTCAGAAAAGATTCTGGGAAACCAAATGCATTTTCATCCCTTGCAGTATCTTAAAAAACAGGAACACTGGTGAAGGCAAGGAAGAACACACAGACAATAGCTTGATCCTGTTCTCACTGAAGCTAATAACAAATATTCTGTCTAAGTTCAATGGTAGCAGGACCTAATCCAAAGAAGTTTGAGCTCACAAAAGAAAGCAAGCTCCACAATATTCAGAAATTAACAGCCAAGCACATGAGTAATATTTTTGGCTCTACTTATAAAAAGTACCGCATTTCTGTCCTTCCTTCTTGGCCCGGGCTGGCTGCTATCTCACGCTTTTATTTCCTGCAAACCATCACTGAATGATTGATATTTGTTTCCTCAGTTTGTGCTGGTAACAGAAACTAACTGGATCCTGAAGAAGCAAACCGTTTACAGGATCACTAGAAAAGAATTAGTTGCAGACAATAAGCATTTTTTAAAAATTCCTGTGAGGAAAGGGAACTGTGCAATACTTTTGCATACGCAGAGCAACGGACAGTTAATAAGGTGATGTGCTCTCCCTAAATTGGAGATTGAGAGTTTCACTGATTTGCCTTGTAGCGTCTCATGTGCATATATGGACATTTATTACTGCTATGGTTTACCCGACCAAAAACTGTTGTAAGGAATGTTGGATCCCAGTTTTGTCATTACTGTAGCTTACTGTGTGGCTTGGAGTCACTTAACCTCTGGGTACACCCTAAAAAAAGTGAAGATAAAAGATATTCAAGCATTTCTGTAAAGCATATTCAGGGTTTTGGAGAGAAATATCTGCATATGGGCATATTCCAGTCTTCACCGGGCTTTGGATCAGGCTTGAATATAATTGATTTAATTCAAACATGCATGTCAATCCTCTATCTCTTCCCTCAGTTCCTCTCTCCTGCTGAAGACAATACTTGTCTCTTCCCCCTCATCCAGGCTTCCTGTGTAATTAAAGTTATTGTTGATTCCTGCCTGCCTTCATCCCCATGCTCAGACTGTTGCCAAATCACTCCTTTTGCACACTATACACAAAACCAAGGCTGATTCTTTGTCCCTCTGCCCAAGCCACTAGGTCATTCCTTGTCTGAGTCTCTTTTCCAGCCTCCCTTGTGTGCTTTACTGATCTCTACCCCACCTGAATGCACCAGTGTTTAAACCTCTTCCCTCTGCCTCTTCCACACACACGCACACAGAGGTCACCTTGCCTACCAAGCTGAAGTAATATTCTTATCCTTGCCTTCCAGTGCCTGAAAAATGTTGCTGCTCCTACCTACTGTTGGTTTGGTCTTTTATCCCATCCCACCTTCTCTCCTTTAGTGACTGTAGTGCCACGAGTTTCTTACTCTGCTGCTCCTTCTCCCACAGCCCCGGAGCTCCTGTGCTCCTTGCTCCTCCCCATTGCATATCAGCCCATCACCTCTAAAACAAGCTGTCCCTGGCAGTTATCCTGACAGCCCACAGTCTGGGGGGCAGCAACCCAAACCACTCAAATTCCAACCATGTTATTCCCCATCTCCTCCTCATTTCTCTAATCTTCTACCTGATCTCTGAAGCACACCACAGGACTTTCAGTTTTTTCTCCACACATCCCCAAAGTTGCAGCACTCACTCCCCTCCCACAAGTGCCAGCTGATGTGGGACCCACACGTGCTCTGACTCCTTCCATGCTACACGCATTGACTGCCCGACTGGTGCCTGCCAGCTGGCAAGCCAAATTAACGACCTACCTATGGAATTAATACTGCAGCTTTTACCTCCTGGCGATCACTGCTACAAGACAATCTCCTACCCAGCAACTAATTCTTATGAATAATGTAGAAACTTAATATTTGAGACCTCTCTGACCCATCTATTTTGGCTACAATCACTTTGCAGATCCAAAAGCTAACAACAGTGGAAAAACAGACTGCTTAAGCCTCATTTCCTTAGGAAACCAGGCTACAAATAGAGAATCAACCCACTCCCCACCCATTTCCATCTTTCGAAGCTCCTTTGAATGAGCTCTGTACCCTGGAAAGCCTTGGCTCTTTTACCCTCTGTGCAAAAGCAGAAGCAGACATCCTGATCAGCAAACCAGGGACTCCCAGAGCTTGACGTAGTAGCTGCTACGTTTAAAGCTACAGAGATGTGTTCCTACAGTCTGGGCTAGAACAAACACATACCCACAGGGTACAGGGAAAGGCACAGAAGTACTGACATTCATCAGTGACTTGTGAAATGTTCACTTGCAGCACTAAACAAATAACCACAACAGTCTAACAATTCTTACACCGCTCCGTGCTGGAGGTCTCCATCAATTACAATCGCCTTGAAAAAGGACAAAACAGCGGCTGTACAGAAATCGCTGAAGAGTCAACTAATTGTGCAACAGGAGGCAAAAATCTAAGTAAAAGGTTAGTCTTCCTAAAGAGTAAGATAAGGATTAATGCTGAAAATCTTATAATCCTATTAGGCACAGCAGCAGTAGCAGCAGCAATCCCCAATCTGCACTGCTACGTGAGCTTCCTTTGGGCATTTGTCAAAAGGGACACGGCGGAGGCAGGAGGGGAAAGGAGAAGGGCAACAAAAGTGTGTGGAAGCACATCAGGGGAGATCCAAAAGAGCAACTGGAAATGCTCTGATTGTTTCTTCTGCAAAGACAAATTACCAAGGTTATTTGGAAGTGGAAGGTGTCCCTGTTGATGGCAGGGGGGTTGGAACTGGATGATCTTTAAGGTCCCTTCCAACCCAAACCATTCTATGATTCTATGATTTGTTCCTAATCCTGATGCAGCGTAAGGCAATGTTCAACTGAATCAACTAGATGATCTTTAAAGGTCCCTTCCAACCCAAACCAGTCTATGATTCTATGATCAAGGGGGAAAAAGTCAAAAAGAAAGGGAAAAACCATCTCTATCAACATGAGTTCACCTGTGGAACTGACTGTATTTATTTATATAATTACATTGCATAGGATTTGGGGGTTGGTTTTGGTTTTCATCACTCATGTTTACCACTCCACAAGCCAGGAAGAAACAAAGCTTCCCATATTGTGGGGTTTCCTGATTATCAGGGGAATATTAAAGCAACTGAACTGTTGGCTCTTCTTTAGCAATCTCTGTCATACTGCAGGGGAGCAGCTGCACCATCACCAAACCTCCTTCTGTCTCCAATTACCAGCACAGCCACAGCCAGCCCTGGCTATCACATCCTTCTATTCCTTCTCCAAATCTGCTGGTGCAGTGATCTGACCATCACAGAGCACAGGCTAACCCAGATGTGACAATGTTCCTAACAGCACCAAGATTATGGCCTGGGGATCAGCATCAGAGCTGGTACCAGGACGTGGGAAGGTCCCACATGACATCCTGAGCTCTGATGATTTGGTGATGCTATCTTCCTCATGGTCCTACAGCCGTTTACCTGTAAAATGAACTCTCCCATTCCATACTGCAGCCACTGAAATAAATGGAAAGACCCTCAGAGATTCTCAGAAGCACTAGCCAGGACTCAGGTTACTACCAGAAATGCCTGTGTATCCATTCTCTTGAGTATTTTTAACAACACAGTTATTTTCTAGGTGGTAACCTGCTGTTACAAACACACCAGCACGGTGCCGTCCACATCCCAAGCCATCCAGGTGTTGCCCATCTAGTTACCAAGCCAGCAGCAGTGCTTGGGCTGCCCAGACATTTAGAACATTGTACTACTACAACCCAAATACAACAGCCCTTATTTTGCCCATAAATAACTAATGTTTCTGTATCATCATCATCACACAGCAGCCAAAATGGCAAACTTCTACTCAAACACAGAGATGGACGCATTTAGGAATCACTGAAATATTTCCTCTCTCCTCAACATGTTCACTGGCTAGTGAGAGCTTCTTGTGCTCGGAGCAGCAGCTGAGCTGTCACCAGGCCAGCACTCCTCGCTGAAACCGCCCAGAAGGGTGCCAATAAGTTTGCATTCCTTATTATCAGCCCTAATTAACGTTCACACAGTGCCACAGATTAAAAATAAACAGCACTGACTTTGCACCAAAGGTTCCCAGTTTAAATCCAACAGCTGGTGATGTGAAAATAAGCAGTGGCACAAGGTCAGGGAAAGGGTTAATGCGAGCCACTTGACAGGCCAAATGCCTGATACCCAAGAAGGGACTGGGGTGGAGGAAGCACCAGCTGCAGGGGAGGAGGCTCCAGGCTGGTCTTCCCTGGGAGATGGCTCCTGCAGATTTTTTGTGGTCATTCTGCAGCAGAATAGGTCCTGCAGGGTGGCTCCAGGGCAGCCAGGAACTTGTCTGTTCACCCTCAGGGTGACAGCTGATGCCATCCCCACCATGGGCCCCAGGAGATGTGGACACCTGGCCGTGGCAGTCTGCCATCCTGATACACTCCAAGAATACCACAGGCACACGTTGATCCCCCAAGGAAAGTGCTGGGCCCCGACACCCCTGAGACAGAACAGGCTCACTTTAAACTCCATTTGCAACTGGAATCAAACAGCCCTGTGGGGTTGGTTCAGTGCTGCTGAGGACAAACATGCAGCTCTGCCCATGTCACTTGGCCAGTCCTCCACCATCTCCATAGGTATTAACAAGGTGTGAAACTCCACTGGAACAGACACCCAGCACGTCCCTCTGCTTTAGGAAACATTTTTCCCCATCTCCTCGCTGGGTGAGCTGCTTAGCTCTTCTGAGCTGCTGAGACCTTGTCCACATGAGCACTTCTGAAGCACCACGCACACCCAGAGGAAATAGAGGCCAGGCCCAGGAGAACTCGGGATCTAACACAAAGACACTTTGCCTTCAATCCAGATCCACCTCTGACTTCTCAGCCAGGCTACTACAGAAGCAAACTGCACACTTTGTGGTGGTCAATGTAACCTAACGGCTGGTGAAACCTGATTGCTCCTCTTGGTGTAACTGTGGGGTAAAAGAATCACAGAATCACAGAATCGCCTCGACTGGAAAAGCCCTTTAAGATCATCGAGTCCAATCATTAACCCAACACTGACAAGTTCCCGACTAACCCATGTCCCTCAGCACTATGTCTACACCACTCTTAAATAAAGGCACGCTCGATTGTGTTTCCATCAGAAATAGCAGGAGCAAGGGCTGTCCTTGATGCTTCTAATTTAAGCAGTTTTGATCCTCCCAAAGCAGCACATACTCCTCTCCAGTTGACACCATGGTTTGTTGTTTTTTTTTCCCCAGCCAGGGCATTCCTCACAGGGGAACTGGGAGACAGCCAGGCAGAAACAGGTGAAGAGACGTGCTGAGGAGGATGGGTGGAGGAGTGGCCTTGGCCAGCCTGGAGTTACCATGCAACTATTGTGTTTACTCACATTGAGATCCTACATCCAGACTTTCACATCTAAAGAAGGCAACCGCAATTTCCTTTTCCTTCTTATTACAGGCAGAAGACAGAAATTCTAAAACAACAATACTACTTTTTAAAATATTGGGATCATTAAGACAATGCACCTGCTGACTACTAAAACCTGATGTTCCTCCTAAAACTACCAGCAGTGAAGGGTCTCACAGGGCTGATATTTACACTGACACCTTTGAGCATCTGATTTAAAGCCCAACGGAGATTAAGCAGGTACTTCTCCCTTCCCAGGGTTATTGTTCCAGGTGGTCTTCAAACGCAGGCAGAATTGGCATCAGTTTACACACAAGCTAACGCTTCCAAGTTTTCCTTGCACTCCTTTAGAACAGAAAAGGCCTGTGTGGCTGCTACAAAAATACCCCACAGCTCTGCAGCTATTTTAGGAAACAAATTTATTGCAGGTAGATGGCTTAGTAAGCTGGTCTGTTCTACTTCACGCTGCCTTCGGTGGAGCTGCCTGGCCCTGTGGAGACAGGCTGCTGATGAACAAGGGGAATCTGTTGGCCCTCGAAGCAACACTTTAAAGGAAGGGTCTGCATGGAGAGTGTGTAGGGCTGGTGTGGGGCCCCAACCCATGGGTGAGAAGCTGCAGGTCGATAGGAACGTTGTGCCTGGCACATGCCACGAGCAGCTGCCTGCAAGAGATAAGTGTTTTGTGGGCCTCACTCATGGGAGGCATTTGTCCTGTTGCTGCTCCTCCCTTCTCCGTCCTTCAGCTCAGCAGGACCACAGAAAGCAGTCCACAGCACTGAGCTTTCTTCCAGCGCTGGCACAGCTCACCACTTCATTCAGACCCTTTCAGGGGAAAAGAAATAATTCATCAAAGTGTCATATTGAGGGGAATAAAATCTGTGCCTTTTAGAGAAGAAAACATTCTCTGCTATGTGACCGGGTCAGATCTTCACCCAGCTTCACTGCTCCAAAAAGACATGGCTTAGCATCTGTGTGCCCCTGATGTTTTCCCTGTCCAGTACTGACCGTATAGTTCCTGCTTTGAAAGCCCTGTCTTTTTCCAAGACAAATAAAGAGCACTTTGAAAATTAAATGGTATATTTTAAATGGGAAAGGCTGCTTTTCCTGATTCTAGAGAGAGGAATGTTTATGTGGAAAAAGGCTTTTTTAGAAGCACTGACATTATATTCCAGAGATGACAGATGGTTTAAGATCTGTACTGTGAGTTAGCCTACAGATTTATGGGAGGCTCATGATGCAAAAAGGAACAGAAAAAGACATATAACCTAACCAAACTAATTTCTAGGCTAAAAAAGATATTAAAAACTGGATTGCATATCAACAAAGCACCTCTGCATTATTATCATATAAAACCACAAAGATCACGCTGCAAGTATTGTTTTGGAGTTATTTTAACCGATGCTACGTGAACCAGCTTTTAGGAAGCATAAACCCATACAGGAATCCCAATTTTGAGCATAATCCTACACTCTGTGTATCCTACAACTCAGTTCAGGTCATAGAAATCTTTCAACATCCAACCATAAGTGCTACCACTGGCTGAGGAGATGGTGAGAAACACAAAAGCTCCTGTTTGTCTATTTCTCACTGAAAACCAGTTTTAGACTTCTAGTGTTGCACTCATGGGGCAGAAAACAGGAATAAAAAATTAAATTAAGCTACCACTCATCCATATGAATTGCAAAATGGGATCTCCTTAGAGTAACATTACTTCAGCTTCCCAGGGACTGCATGTTGCTAGAAGTGCTTAACTAAGTGCAAGGAATATTTTAGCTCACTGATAAGACTTTAAAAAACCAAACCAAAATACCTCTTTGGCCTAAATACTCAGCTAAAGTCATTAAAAGTGTTGACTTCCCATGGAATAACTGCCAGTCCTGGGTTACCAACAGTTCAATCCACTGACACAAACTGAGCAGGCCCAAGGCTGCTCCGAGTAGCACACGGTCTCAGAGATCTCCCCAAGCTCTTGAAGGAGGACAGAACCCCTGGTTAGGTCTCTCCAGTAGCCAAGGAGAGCAGTTTGGTATAGGAATAGGTATCAGACATGGTCATGGCCAGGTTGGTGCAAAACAGCCTGCAGAGAAAACCTTACTACTGTCTGGACATTTCTATAAATATGCTAGTAAATTAACAATTAACAGTATAACCACTTCCATCAGTAACTGATCTTCTCATTAACATCTCTGAGGATATCTCCCTTAACACCTCTGAGGACTCTACAACATTAACCTGAAAAACTGGAAGATGAAACATTTGGAGAGAGAAGCCACATGGAAAACATGTAGGACCCAACTCAGTTGTAAGCTCTATGTTCCAGAGCTGGTATTTAACTCCTAGTTCAGTGAAAAACAAACAAACAAAACAACTCCACCTTTAAAACATCTCATTTTGACAACACATTTCAAAGAAGGATTTCAAAGAATAGTATTCATATTAGTGACCTGAGTATCAAAGTCAATTGATTCCTGATTATTTCTATTTCATTATTGTTTTACCTCTATTTTAAATTATAAGGACAGTGAGACCCATTTGAAATTATACAAGAAGCTCACATCAGAGACGTAAGCAGTACCCAATTTTCAAGCAAGAGTGTAAGAAAACGAAGACAAGATGATACTACAGGTAATTTCAGAATATTCAGGCCATCTGAATGCTCTCGTCAGTGCGGGGATCAGAATGC